TCCTCGGGCAGAGCTGGGCCTTCCCTCCTCACAAGATCCGTCGAAAACCAGTTTCTCTTTCGGTCACGGGGGGCCATGTTGGTCAGATACTCTTGGTTGATGGCGACGAGTCAAACCAGCTCCAGATCATAAATTCACTCCCTTTATTATTTTCTCAACCTGAGAACACTATTCTGAATTTCAGATGTTAATTGGGCTCGTTGTTTTAAGGGTTTTTAAATCTGAATTTTGTCCCATGAGCACTGCGGTTGCATATAATTTAAATGGCAATAGGGGAGGTGGGCGTGGCTACCAAGTATAGATACGGGAACCGAGAAGGGACAAACAAGTGGGAGCGTCGGATCCGGGAAAAGGGAAAGGACGGACAGCCGGGAACATTTACAGTTATCAATTAACAATTATCAATTAATTATCCCCAAACATTAAAGTCGTTTATAACAGGGCTGGAATTGCCAGGAAATCCTTGGAATGTCCAAGGAAAGGTTGGACATCGGGGTTTGGATCACTCCGGGACAGTCCCTGCCATGGATGGGGTGGCACTGGGTGATCTTTAAAATTCCTTCCCATCCCCAAAAAAATTCCATAATTCCACCACGGGTGGAACTTCCAGTTCTAAAATTTTATGAAATCCCCTCAAAACCCATCTGTGATCAGCAGAAAGCGCGGGAATTCCATCCTACAGATCATTTCATTTTCAATCCTTTATATTATTAATTTTTTTTATTCTGTATTTTTATTTTTTTTATCTGAATTACACCCTAATCTCATTTTTTTTTTTCACCTTTGAATCTCACAGGTTTGAAATCCCAACGAGCCACAGGCGATCCAAAAATGAAGCGCTGCCTTTTTTTAAATTACTTTTTATGGAGCTTTTTTTTATGACTTTTTATGGAGTTTTTTTATGACTTTTTATGAAGCTTTTTTTTTTTTTTATTGAGCTGCTTTTTTATGACTTCCAGCACCTCCAAAAAAAAAAAAAAATTGAATGAAACCTTGGCAGCTCCTCAAAGCTGTTAAAGACAGGTTGAAACTGCCAGGATTCCCTTTTTTAAATTTTGAAATAAATATATTTATTTATTTTGGTTTGGGTTGGGTTTTTTTTATTATTATTATTTTTTGTTGTTGGGATTTTTTTGAGGGTTTTTTTTTTATTTTTTGTTGTTATTTTCTGTGTGGGTTTTTGTGGTTTTTTGGGGTTTTTATTTTGGGTTTTTGGGGTTTTTTGTTTGTTTTTGGGGGGTTGTTTATTTGAGATTTTTGTTTTTATTTTTGTGGGGTTTTTTTGGTTTTTTGGTTTTTTTTTTTTGGCTCACTGGGAGATCCCAAAGTTTCAAATTTTTGAAAATTCTCCATTCTGGGGGGCTGGAAATGAGAATTGATTTCAGCTCAGGATGTGAAAATCTGGAAACTGAAGCAACAAGAGGCAGAAAATATTTTGGATATTTTGGATATTTTGGATTTTTTTTCCTGCAGACTCCTGGTGAAATCACCCCAAAATTTGGAGATTTGGAGCCTCCTGTGTGACATTTCCAGATATTTTTGGTTTGGGTCTTCTGACAAAAAAAAAAAAAAATTCTTTGGGGAATTATTATAATTAAAATTATTATCCTGAGACCTTGGAAACTCAAAAGGTTTTGCTGAGATTTGTGTTTAACTAAAATTCACACCTGACAAAATAATTTGGTTTTTTCTAGGTCAAAACTCTCCAGGTGACTTCCTTGATCTTCCATCAAGCCTTTTAAAAATGATAGATTTTTAATTAAAAAGCAAAATAAAATTAAAATTTTAATGAATAACTATAACAAGATAAATAATATTAATATCGCAACGATATTACGAGTAGTAAAAATTAATATTTTAAATGAATAATAACTGTAAAAAAATTAAAATTAAATATTTAAATCGAAATATCATTTAATTAGCAGCGAACAAAGTTGATTTCTGGGTTTTCCTGGCACTTTTTTTAACATTTCCAGATTTTCCTCTTTCCACCTCCTCAGCTCTGCACACGTCAGGATGATGAAATTTTTTTTTTTTTTTTTTTTTTCAGTTCACGAATCAATTTTTGCTGCTTTTGGCTTTTTAATTTTGCTTTCTAGGAGATTTTTGGGCGAGAACTGAGGTGGTTTTGCTGCCATAAAAATGCAGCACTTTGGCTCTAAACTGCATTAAAGCCACACAATAAATCGGATTTTTTTTTTTTTTTTTTTTTTTGAAGTGTGAAAATAAGCCCCAAATGTCACCTCGGGAAGATTTTGGGGTTTTTTTGGGGGTTGTTTTTGGGGTTTTTTTTGCAATTTCCTCCCATCCTGTCCCTTATTCCTTGGGAATAAGAAAAATCCCACCTGGCTCCATCCTCCTGTCAGGGACACGTGGGGAGAGAGAGAGATTTAATAATAAAATTCAAAATTCACTCTTATTTAAATTAAAATTAAATTCATTTTTATTTCCGTTCACATCGATTCCGGCTTTTTCTTTTTTGTGATTTAAAAGGAGCAGCGGCCACACAGGGAATGTGAAAAAAAAGAGGGAAAAAGAGGAAAAAGAGGGAAAAAAGGGGAAAAAAGGGGGAAAAAAAAGGGAAAAAAGAGAAAAAAAGAGGAAAAAGAGAAAAAGAGGGAAAAAAGGGGAAAAAAGAGCGAAAAAGAGGGAAAAAAGGGGAAAAAAGAGAAAAAGAGGGAAAAAAGAGAAAAAAGAGGGGGGAAAAAAGAGGGAAAAAAGAGAAAAAAGAGGGAAAAGAGAAAAAAAAAGAGAAAAAAGAGGGGGGAAAAGAGAAAAAAGAGGGGAAAAAAGAGAAAAAAAGAGAAAAAAGAGGGGGGAAAAAAGAGGGAAAAAAGAGAAAAAAGAGGGGAAAAAGAGAAAAAAAGAGAAAAAAGGGGAAAAAAGAGAAAAAAAAGAGGAAAAAGAGGGAAAAGAGGGAAAAAAGAGAAAAAAGAGGAAAAAAAGAGAAAAAGAGGGAAAAAAGAGGAAAAAAGGGGGAAAAATAGGGGAAAAAAGAGAAAAAAAAGAGAAAAAGAGAAAAAAGAGGGAAAAAAAGAGGAAAAAAAAGAGGGAAAAAAAAAGGAAAAAAGGGAGAGGGACGAAGCTGGAGATGCCAGAGGTTGGTTGAAATCCAAGAGTTTTGTGGATTTAAAAAAAAAAAAAAAAATTAAAAAAAAAAAGATGGAATTTGATCCCTGGCTGTTCTCAGTGCAATAAAAATGGGAAGGGCCGGGCTGGAGGAATTTTCCAGAGCTGTGGGATCACGTTCATCAGGAATCCTGAATCCAGGTAATCCCATGGAAAAGGAGAATATTCCATGAGTGATGAATTCTGCTCCTCAGCCCAGCACACAAAGGGATGGAATCGTTGCTGGATTTATTTTGGGGTCCAAAATGAGCAGCAAATGGAATTCCCGAGGGAATGGAATTCCCAGAGCAGCCCTGGCTGCCCCTGGATCCTTGGGAATGTCCCAGGCCAGGGGTTTGGGGACAATGGGGAGAGTCCCGAGGGTGGGGCTGGAGGAGTTTTGGGGTCATTTCCCACCCAAACC